GCTACGAGAAACTTGGTTTTACAAAGTATATCTCATATATATATATATATATATATATATATATGTATCTCACAGGATATTATCTGCTATTTATTGAAAGTGACATGTCTATTTCCAGTTGCCAGCTAACCTCTACATGGGTAATTGCATGTTTTCTTTAACACCATTTATTATCTTGTTGAGACAATACACTTCATCAGTGGTGTTCAAATAAAACAACACAGCTGGGTATATCTCGATGGTGGATTCTCCTTTGGCTTTGTAATTTATTTATTTCTAACTGATGATGCAGCAATATAGTGTGGACTCCACATTCCTAACACTTTGCCAAGTCAAAACTACCCTGGTACTTATTATAGCAGATCCTGTCTTGCTGGGTTTTTGAAAACAGCTCTGGAATCAAGTAAACACTCAGAGATCACATGACCACTGTTCCTTCATAAATAAAACAGCACCACCTTTGGATTTTTTTTTATATTTTAAGTATTTCTAATCAATGCCAGGCATCTTTAAAGACACTAAATTTGGTTTTCCATTTTTCAAATTATGACTGTTGAAGAGGAACTCTCAGGGTGATTTCAGCAGCCAAGAAAGAGTTAATTATCTTTACCACCTAAATCCACAGTCTATCTATCCAACCTGCACGGAGCTGAATGGCTGTTTTGTAAAATTTAGGAGCACCTTAGGAGCACTAGGCCAGGAAGCCGAGTGTTCCCTGAACATAGCTATTTGCTGAAAGCTCTTTTGTCACATATATTCTTCATTCCACCATTCATCTATATAGATCTTCTGTAGTAATTTTACCAGTCATGTGGGCTGGAAGAGATATAACACTTTTCTTTAGGAGATTGAATTACCCTTTCCGTGTGTAAAAGGTTTAGGGAAAAAAAGAAAGGATAAAATACCTTGTGTGATAGACTGAAATGTTAATGTCTTAACCATTGTCAAAATCATAGGAAGACTTTTTGTCAAACTGCAAGGAAGCAACAACCAAAGCACTCCCTCCCCACCCCGCCAGTGCGCCTCCTGACTGGTGACCAGAACTTGAGATAGGACTATTGTCTAATTATCTCAGGTCAAAGGAGGAGTAAACAAAGCTCAGTAGGTGAAGGAAGAGAAGGGGTTTGGGTGTGTGATGGTGAAATCTCTCCACACAAAGCAGAAGGAGTAAAACAACCCCTCCAGAAAGAACACATATACACAGGACATTCACAGGAAAGACAGCTGAGAAGGGGTCATAAACCATGAAAGATTCCTCCCCTGCCCCCCACCCGACTCATTCCTGAGGCCTTCCACTACCAGAGGACCCCACTGTGATCCAAGTGATGCAACAAATCCAGAACCTGTCACAGGAGACTGCAAAGCTTCCCCCATTGGACTCTATGTTTTGTGGGACCCTTACCACCAGGCAGACTAGAAGAAGATGACCCATGGGATGCCACCGAGTTCTATGGAGTGGTGACTCATTCTGTATTTAATCTCTGTATCTGTCACTCTCTTTCTTCCCCGCTCCTCCTTTTTCCTATTTCTTTCTCTTTCTCTGCCTCACATTTACTATTAAATAAAATCCATACTATTGACTTTGGCATATGGTCTTATTTGCACCTTAATTTGGGCAGAGACATTTCTAATACTTTTAATAACATAGCATTCTGTCATTTAATATCATAGCATTCTATCACTGGAGATGATCTGTCTGGACACAATCATGTGCAATGTGCTCTGGGATGATCCTGCTTGGGCAGGGAGGTTGGACCCACATGGACCACTGTGGTCCCTTCCAACCTGACAGATTCTCTGGTTCTGTGATCTGTGAAGTATGAACATCATGAGAGCAGTCAGAGATAGCACCACTCAGACACAAACATCTGGTGGGATGCAGCTAGAATCAATACTAGAAGTTGTGTGAAATCAATTTATATTCACAGGTCAAGCTCAAATTTGCATGGGCTCCAGCACCTCCTGAAGCCAGTGTTTCTAAAAACGAGTTAAAACCAGTAACAAGACACTCAATAAACACAGTGACAGTGCAAGTACACTTCACTGGTTTTAATGTGCATGCGAAACTACCGCCTTAAACCATCAACCAGAAGTACTGATGAAAGTTCCATCATTCACCTCTTATAGTACTGAATAGCTAGGGATAAGGGAGGCCAAGCTTTGTTTCCTCTAAACCTGCCTTCATGTTGTTTATATGTGCAATAAACCACAACCTCAGCACTGATTTCCACACTGCCATTGAGTGTTCCTGCTTCTTGCAACCTCAACCAATCCTTCCCATTTGCTCTTCTTTATCTTGGGTATTAATTTTGTGGCAATCTAAGCTGGCTGCAAAAATATTCATTTTATTACCGTGAAATTAGCTTTATTCAAGGTCAGTTTTATGCAGCGATGCAGACTTGTGTTGGTTTGAGTGCATGCATGGTTTCACTGCAGCAAGGTAGCTAGGTAATACCTTATGCTTCCTTGGCCTTTCTCCATGAGGCTGAGCACCTGAATTCCACTATATTTTGGTTTATTTCTTTCCCTTTTTGCCTATGTACTCCCTTATTTTAAAGCATGACATCAGTCATAATAACGCTTCAGGATGCCATACTAAAATAATAAATAAAAAAAATTGTGATGTGTTTTTGCTTGAGCTCAGTGCCTGAGCTCATTTTCATCTTCTCGGTGTTGCATACTCTAATTTCTTTACAGATGTGCAGCATTAGGTTTCGCAGCCAGATGTACTCTCTGTCAGGGGAAAAATATCTGCCTGCACTGCAGCCTGTACCTTCTTTGACCTGTCCACAAAAGGCACCTGTGGAAATACTGTTAGTCTCTTCAGATTATATGCAATAGGATTGTTACTCTGTGAGAAGAAAGTAGGCAAAAGCAAAGGAAAAGAAAAAGACAATGACCACATTGCTACGACAGGCAGAAATTCCACTCTGCCAACACTAGCACTGCAGCACTTAGAGAGACTCACTTATGCTACATCATCACTGATCTAATATCAACTGCACTTTCCTTACTGTAGAGCTTGGTGTCTACAACTACATGATAATCAGTTTATAACATCTTAACTAAAGACACAAAACCTATTTTTATAAACTGCACAGATTAACATGTAGACGAGAGGTAAGTAGTGAAATTCCACAGTTTGATGCCTAATCTTTGAATTTAACAAATTAAATAGCAACAACTTTTAAAACTAGAGTTTAATTCTGCTATGCCTCCAAGTTTTTGTGTAATGGGTGCATACATTTTTTCTGGTCATTTACTCTTCTTGGAGCTCTGCTTCTCAGAAGCTAAAATTACAATCCAACACATAAGTCATTTTATGTTCAGTGTTTATTTTTAAAATCATTAATTCAAGTAACATAAAAGGCAAACTTTAGCTGGCTGAAGACTACATTTTTCAATGTGATACTATACAATTGCATATTATTAAAGGGATTTTTACTTGAGCTCAGTAAAGGTTGCCCAGGAAGTCTCCTTCTCTGGAGACATTTAAAACTCACCTGAACACATCTCTGTGTAACCAGCTCTAGATAAGCCGACCTTGGTGGGGGTTGGACTGGATGATCTCCAGAGGTCCCTTCCAACCCTAACAATTCTGTGATTCTGATAATTTTGAGAAGGGTGATTTTTGTGCGTAAACTGGGAGGGTATGACTCAAAAAAAAAAGCACAATTCAGGTCTCTTGCATGCTATTAAGACTTCCTGTATGGACATGTTCAAGCTGCTCAAGACACAACTCCTCAGGATACCTCATGGTACTACTCCTCAGGTTTCCTTTCTAGGCTGTAAATACACACGTCTCTTACGTGTGTAAGATGGTGATTTTAATAACAGAATCATAACATGTGAAGGGTTTGGAATGAACCTTAAAGATCATCTTGTCCCAACCCCTGTGCCACAGACAGGGACACCTCCCACTAGACCATGTTGCTCAAGGCCTTGTCCAATCTGGCCTTGCGCACTGCCAGGGATGGGGCATGCACAACCTCCCTGGGCAACCTGTTCCACTATCTTACCAACATCACAGCAAAAAATTTCTTCCTAATATCTAAACTAAATTCCCCCTTTTTTCAATTTGTGCCCATTACTCCCTGTCCTATTCCTGTAATTCCTAACACACAGTCCCTCTACGGCTTCCCTGCAGGCCCTCAGACAGGACTGCGCAAGGAAGAGGAAGGTAAGGTATTCTCCATACACCCGCAAAACTAAACGAAGCTCACCCACGAGCACCGCCACTGTTCCGCATGCGGTACGTTTGGAACAGTAAACCAATGCCGACACTGCTGGCTTCCTCTTCTAAAGCTTAAAAGCCCCTCCATAAACGGATTCACCTGGCACACGGTGCTTCTGGCTTCCTCCACAAGCCGCACTGAGCTGGGGCTGTTCTCTCCCGCAGTGACCCGCCTGCCGCGCCCCGCTCCGTCCCCGTCCGGGGAGGGTACACTGGCCCCGCTCCCCGGTCACGGAGGGCACACAAGCCCTGCTCCCCAGGTCACGGAGGGCACATCGACCCCGCTCCCCTCAGCCAGGACACACCAGCCCCGTTCCCCGGGTCACGGAGGGCACATCGACCCCGCTCCCCTCAGCCAGGACACACCGGCCCCGCTCTGCAGGTCACGGAGGGCACATCGACCCCGCTCCCCTCAGCCAGGACACACCGGCCCCGCTCCCCGGGTCACGGAGGGCACATCGACCCCGCTCCCCTGAGCCAGGACACACCGGCCCCGCTCCCCGGGTCACACAGGGCTCACCGACCCCGCTCCCCTGAGCCAGGACACACCGGCCCCGCTCCCCGGGTCACACAGCGATCACCGACCCCGCTCCCCTGAGCCAGGACACACCGGCCCCGCTCCCCGGGTCACACAGCGATCACCGACCCCGCTCCCCCCGGCTGAGGCGTTGCTGCGCCTGCGGAGCCCGCGCGGAGCGGGCGGGGCGGGGGCGGGCCGGCGCAGGCGCGGAGCGGCGGCCGGAGCGGAGGTGAGGGGGGCGCGGGGCCGGACCGGGCGGGGGGTGGTGGCGCTGGGGCCGGGCCAGCGGCCCCTCCGCTGTGCGAGGGGGATAGCGGGGTGTCCTTGCAGTGTCCTCCCCGCAGCTGTTCCCCATCCGCCTCCCCGGGAGGTTCAGACCAGACCCGGAGGGTGCGACACGGGCCTGATCCGGGCCGGGAGCGCGGAGGTGCCGCGGCTGGAGAGGCGGTGGGGAGAGCGAGCCTCCGGTCGGCCCCTCACTGCGGGGAGGCACGAGAGGCTGGCGCCCTGTCTTCCCTGAAAACCCTGAAATCGCGGTGTCAGATGGCCAAGTCAGTGGGCCTCGACTTCCCCGGGCGGGGCACTGGCGGCTCCTGAGGAGGAGCCGGAGAGGAAGGGGCTTTACGCCCCTGCTGTGAGGAAATACACCTGGATGATCCTATGTGGGGCACTCACAAGGAAAAAGAAGTTCAGATACAGAGGTCTGCTGAGTTAGAGCTGCTGTTGTAAGGTGGGTGTTCCCTCTCCTGTCCTGTGCAGTGCTGCAGACAGACGGGAAAGGAAAGCTGAGTTCTGGTCATGGGAGGTTTCCTCGAGATGAGTGGGGTTTAGCTGTCACAGCTTTCTGTCCTGGGTTGCGATGGTTTGCAAAACTTATTTTTAATGTCTTCCTGTGGCTGTAGCATAACTTTTAGGGGAGGTGGAACTTCCTGTTGTCTTCTGCAGCCCCATCAGAAGCGGGAAGCTCTAGAGTTGTTGGACACTGCTAGGGAAAATGTTTAAGGACTGTTTCCGCATAAGATAAAGAATTATGCATCAGTACATTCTATAAAGTGCTGAGCATTTGCCTTGTATCACAACACACTGCACATCACCGTGATGTAAAGGATGTATTTATTGTGTGAGTTTCCTTACAGAAGTTGTGTGTTGTGCAGGCTCCTCATACTTCTGTAGTGAGTAAAAGCTATTTGGCGTGTGATTAACGTTTGTAAAGCATACCTCTTCATTATGTGGAACGTATACATATGTGTATATATATATATATATATATATATATATACACACGCTTCCTGAATTAATAAAGTCTACAGTGAGTGAAATCTCAGGTGTAGAAGTCAGGTTGAGAGTCTTATTTGGAAACAAAAGAATTGTAGAAAGGCTTAGGTTGGAAGGGACCTTAAAGATCAGTTAGTTCCAACCCACTCTGCCCTGGGCAGGGATGCCACCCACCAGATCAGGTTGCTCAGGGCCCCATTCAACCTGGCCTTGACCACTTTCAGGGACTGAGCATCCACTTCTCTGGGCAACTTCTTCCAGTGCCTCACCACCCTCACAGTAAAGAACTTCTTCCTATCATCTAATTTAAATATCTCCTCTCTTGGTTTAAAACATCTCCCCCTTGTCCTATCAATATCTGGTCATGTAAAAATAAGATGAGATGATAATGAGGTCTGCTCTAATTTATTGTTTTTTCCTGCAAAAACCTTTTTCTTTTAGGTGATGTAAGCATTTCAGTTACACACGAGAGAGGAAACAGGCATGTCAGCTCTTTGTCCACCACCGTCTCCTGCAGTTGCTAAAACAGAGATCTCTTTGAATGGCGAGTCACCTTTATTAGCCGCCACTTTTGCTTATTGGGACAATATTCTTGGCCCTCGAGTGCGGCATATCTGGGCTCCAAAGACAGAACAGGTACTTCTCAGTGATGGTGAAATAACTTTTCTTGCTAACCACACTCTGAATGGAGAAATACTCCGGAATGCAGAAAGTGGTGCAATAGATGTGAAGTTCTTTGTTTTGGCAGAAAAAAGGGTAATCATTGTGTCATTAATCTTTGATGGAAACTGGAATGGAGACAGAAGCACATATGGACTATCAATTATACTTCCACAAAGTGAACTTGGCTTCTACCTGCCACTTCACAGAGTGTGCGTGGATAGATTAACACATATTATAAGGAAAGGAAGAATATGGATGCATAAGGTAGGTTAATTGTTCATTACTAAAATCAGTTGTTAGATTGTCATGTGAAAAAGCAAAAACTGAGATTCTGTGACACCTTTAATGTAGCAATTCAAAACTTACAAAAATTCTAAGGAGACTAACCTCTACAAGTACACAGTTCTGAAGGTTAAAAGTTATGAAATTACTATGTCAGCAAATACAAGGTTGAGATTTTTAGCCACGTGATTTATCCTTGTAATATTATATAACCTCTGCGAGGCTGTCTCAGGTGTCCTGTATAGTTTTTCATCTCTCTGAATTTCATCTAAGTAGTTGCTTTTAATTGTATCAATTTGTGTATTAAACTAGGTGAAATTGTAAAGTTTTGTGTTTCAAATCATTGTTTTCGCTGCTGAGGTCCAGAAAAAGGAACTGATGCAATTAATGCTGTCATTGCTCTTACAGTTTTATTTTTCAAAAAAAGAGTATTAACAAACAGTTTGGCAGGGGTTAAACTGTAGAACTAAAGGGAGAACCACAAAAATACATTTACTTGTGAAACTCAAAAAGGAAAACATGCTAAATTTCTCTGAAGAATTGGAACTCTGACTTTTGGGGACACTATGGATATTTCCTTATTAAGTGAAAATTATTATGTATTTTTCTTTAAAAGTAACAGTCTAATAATAAAAATTAAAATGTTTGTCATCTTCATGGTATCCAGGTTGTCTTAGAACAGTAGATTGCAGATCAGCTGTAATGTGTATGCCAATGCTCACTTGTCTGATAAAGTTTTTGTACATCTTCTGTTCTACCATCTGCAGACAACATACTGTACACTTCCTTTTTGAGTGCTTTTATCTGAACTAATTAAGATTACAGAAATAACAAGCCGATGTTAATTTTTGTGGTGATGTTTCCTTTTTGCTGTATTGCCTGATGATGGCTGGGAGTGCTTTCCATCACACTGGCTTTTCATACTTCTGGGGCTTACTTTTTAGTGGAGGGATAATACATAAAGTTCGTTTTCAATACAGTAGAAACACAAATATTTCACTCCTAATACAATCTTCTAAAAGCCTGCTGGATGTTAGTGCCTTTGATGTAAGTGAATGCTGTCTCATGTTCCTGATTACATTGCTTCTGTCATTTAGTGCCCTCTGTACTGACTTCTAACATGGGTGGTCAAATAAGGATTATCCATCATTCTCAGTTTTTGGACATTGATCCATATCGGTATGTTTTCACAGTGGAAAAACATGTGGCATTGAAAATGACAAAAAAATGACATCAAGTGGCATTGAAAATGGCAAAAGAATGTTTTCTGCTAGTTTCCTCAGAAATTAGTCATTAAGTTCTTTGTTCTTTTTCAGATGTTCTTGGAGCAGATAGGTCAGCTGGGTTAGCTGAGAGAGTGATGAGAGAGTGATACATTCTGAAATAGATATTTAGTGTCTTTTTTTTTTTTTCTTGAAGGACGATCAAAGATCCCTGGATATATCTGCAGTTCTTCATTTTTAACTATAGAAGAGAAAACTGCTTTGAAAATGTAGATAAAAATTTAGGCATGAGTTGTAGAATAATAATGAATTAAAACATGTTCATTCTGTAGTTTGTGCTTTGAGGCAGTTCAACAACTATGGTTATATAAAATAGAACAAAAAATGTTGAAAGGAGCTGTCTACCTGTTCTGGAAGTTCTAATAGTTGTAATTACCAGCTCTCACTGGTTCTGTGTAGAGGCAGACAGCAGTTCCAGGTAGACTTGAGATGAGAAGAAGCCTTCTGAACTTGAGGATTAGTAGAAACATGGAGCAGTGTTCAGAGTGTCATAGAAGGACAAGCAAGTCTAAAGCAAGTCGTCAATATGGGATTAGAAACCCTTTTCATCTACTTCAATTTATATTCTAGATGTTTGTCTAATAATTTTGGGGAGTTATGTTTCCAAAAAGATGGGGCTTACACTATTTGTTCAGCCTTATCTTCATGAAGACTGACTTCTTTTAAAATCATTGTCAAGGATCTTACTTCTCTGACACTGAACTGAAGGGCAGAGGTGATGTGAAGGAATCTGGCTTGTTTCAGTATTGTTATCCAAAGATGTGTCTTCTGGGTGGTTAGGGCAAGTTTTAGGACAAGTTACTCTAGCTTATTCCCTATTCATCTGCTCAAAAAAACCCTTGAAAACTCTTTTCCCACCTGAAGTTGGTTAACTTTGAGTAGATTGGTCACAGAAAACTTATGAGTAACCAATAACAATGCAATAACCTGTCAACTTCTAGCAAAACATATTATTAGTTCACTCAGCATCTGCTATTTTCTGTGTTTTGGTTGCTCTAGTGATTAATGCTGAATTTTCTTTGTGAATAGTAACTTGATTCCATTCTAAGTTCATTTTTAATGCAGTTTGCTACTCAGCTGCTGCTGAGTCTGTTTTCAGAGTTTTGTTCAGTCTCTTGTAGATTGTGTTTTGTGTATTTTGAGTTTCATGTCTCCTATACTTGGTTAATAAGACAATGTTTTGAAAACTTGTCAGTGTCTCAAGAGGTGGGGGAAAAAAGTCTTTTTTTCCTACCCTCCCCAGTCAAATAACTTTTCTCATTCTGGAGATCTTATTTTTCTCTTGCTGCATCAGGAACCCTCATACATAAAATGGAATTCCTTGCCATAATGCGATCATTTGGCATTTTCTTGATCTGTAATGAAGAAACTTCATGTTTTGTCATTGTCATCACACGCTCCCTATCCTGCTACTCCTGCCCAAGCATGGGAGAGGTTTGATGGGGGGCAGAGCAGGGAGTGTTGATCTTTGTTGCATGACATCACTTGTTGCTAAAGTCAACTCTATAAAAGAAAAGAGACTTGAACATCAAAATTTGAATCTAAGAAGCATGACTCCACAGGGAAGAAACTGTACCCTTTGACTGTTGTGTGCATACATACATAAACAAATAACAGAGCATTTGTATCTAACTGCTTCTCTTGCTCAGGAGAGGCAAGAACATTTCCAGAAGATTGTCTTGGAAGGCACAGAAAGAATGGAGGATCAGGTAAGGGCCACCTGGTTCATGCATATGGCACACCATTGCAAAATTGTTTGGCTGCATCTGATGACTGTAGAACTGCTGCTTATTTTTGGGATCGAGGAAGATACTGTGGACTAGCTGATGATGTGCCATGCACAGGATTCAAAGGTTTTGAAGATAATGGGAGCAGTGATCAAGTAGAAGGAAACTATATTTCATCACTTTAGGGAAATCTGTGAAGAATATTACCTTTCAGAAAAGGAAAGTCATGTACTTGAACGTGAAGCTCTATAAAGGCAGGAGCTCTCCATAGAGTCATGCCGGCTTCCTATCAAGGTTGGTTTTTCACTAGGTTAGGTCATCTTTTTGAGTTACAGAGATGTACAGAGTGTCATGTTGGAATGTGGTTGGAGACCTAATGGATAAGACTGTGAAAAGAATTTGATTCTGAAACTCTAAATGTGAAATTGTGGCTTCAGTTTCTTGTGATAGGTAAATCAGAGAAGTATTCTTATATGTTAATAACTAATGTGCCTGGTTTTGGTTTCCTGTTACTGTTAAAACATCAGACTTAGATGTAAAATGCTTAACAGTGGTTGCATGTAATATAAGATGATCAGATCAGCTCACTCCAAATACTTCTTGTCTAGGTCCATCAAAAGTGATTGTGAAAATTAGCATAAGACTCCGGAAATACATTTAAGACATGATGTTGGGAAGCCAAATATGTGTTTCCAGTTCATGTCTATTGAAGAGTAAAGCCCAAGAAATCTATGCATCAATTTCTGCTCATACCACCGTTCCAAATAATAGGAAGTTAACGTTAACGATGTTTTGCATGTAATATAGCAAGTTCATATTAGTAACTTTGAACACTACCCAATGTGCTTTTCCTTCAAGCATTTTATTTATTGTGCAGGGTCAGAGCATCATTCCAATGCTGACAGGAGAAGTTATTCCTGTAATGGAACTCCTTTCATCTATGAAATCACACAGTGTTCCAGAAGAAATAGATGTAAGTCCTTGTTTTATTTATATTCTGAATAAAAAGGTGGCTTTAGCCTTCTGGATAAAAAAAGTAAATTTGGCCCTCTGGTTTGATACTCACTTTGGCAGAGAAAAGGCCACTGTTTTCCTAAATTCTTGTAACTTTGTCTCACTTCAAGTTCTTCTAAGTGGTGTAGGGAATGGCAGTGTTTTTTATGGTCAGCACTTAGCAAAATTAACTGCTTAGGATGATACCATTTTAAGAGTGCAAAGACTATTTGATGCAACCAAAAATGAATGGACAGATAAATGGATTTGATTTTGATACCTTTTTCAGTGTATTATAGTGTTCTCACTATATGGAAGAAGTAGAAGTGATCTGACATTCACTAATTTAAAGTGTTCTGGACAAGGTCATAGAAATAAAAAAACACTAGGAGGAACCTGACTTGTGACTGGGGAAGAACATGTAATAACCAAGTGACTTTCTCATTTTTAAAATTCTTTGTTGAAGTCAGAAGGTCTTTTTAAGATTGTGGTTTTTAGGGAAATCTTGGAACTTAAATAGTTCCCCAAAAGTTCCCAACTATCAGTAAAAGTGAAAATCAATTAATTGGAAGATGTTTCAGATCCTTGTCTAACTTTTTTATATATTTACTTGTATTTCAGATAAGTGACACAGTGCTAAATGATGATGACATTGGGGATAGTTGCCATGAAGGCTTTCTTCTCAAGTATGAAATTCAGTTTTGATTTATGCTGTAGTAAAATGGTTTAAACTTGTGTGTGCATCTTAATGTATCTGTCTGTATGTGCATGTGAACTTGTATTGGAATAGTTTAAGAGGGGGGACAGTGACACGTATTTGGCTTTTTGAGATTTTTGTCTATAAAATGCTATAAAGGCTTTTGTGTTTTTAGAATAATGACTCTGGGCTAATAGCTGCATCTCTGTAGATGGTTGTCAAAGATACAAATATAATTTTTCTTTGATACTTATATTTAATTTTTTGAGACTGTAAGTCAAAACCTTACGTTTTTATGAAATAGCAAAAAACCTGGGTTGTGTATAAATATTGTATGTGTATAGAGTGCTTATTGAATTGTATATTTCTCTTTTTCCTCCGTTTTTAATGTTTAAGTGGAACTAGTTGAACTTGAGGGCAACTTGATCTCTTCCTGCAGGAAAGCATATTTCATAGGTTTTAATTGATGTTCTTTTACTTTTCATAACATCTCCTGTGTAACTGCATTGATTTATGTAGTGGTTAGTGCCCTCTATTTATACAGCATCACATATGCTTTCAATACTGCAGAAACTGTTGAACTTTTGCATTTCAGTAGTTACTTACACAGCTGTTGAAAGTCCTATGGTTATGGGCCTATAGGCTATAGGAGCACTTTATTCTTCTTGTCAAGATGATAATTGTTTCATTTGAAAAGTTTGATTAAATGTATTAACCTGTGTTTGTTTTTACTTGCAGTGCAATTAGTTCACACCTGCAGACCTGTGGTTGTTCAGTAGTTGTAGGAAGCAGTGCAGAAAAAGTAAATAAGGTAACATACTTTCCAAAAACTGAACTTAAATGCTAACTGTCAGGAGTGTTAGTGTGTTACTTGGAACAAAGTTTATTTATACACGTACTTGAGGTTGAAGAAGGAAGGAATACTGTTATCTGGCTATCTTTAGCTGACTGGTCTTGCAGATGATAATTCTTCCTGAAAATTGCCTTATTGGCTGTATTCTGACAACTATAAGAAAACCAATGTATTTAATTGATACAGTATATGAGTAGTAAATGAGTCTGAGCTTTTAAAATTAGGTTCTTTAGCTAAAATATACCAATTGAAGAGACGTGACTGGCTTATCCATTTCAGCTATGTCATATAATCATCAAGGAGGGAGGAAACCTTTAAGATGGTCAAGTCCAACTGTCCCCCCAGCACTGCCACTGTAACCCCTAAGCCATGTCACTCAGCATTAGATCCAGGCACCTCATGAACACCTCCAAGAATGGTGACTCCACCACCTCCCCAGGAAACCTATTCCAACGCCCAACCACCCTAACAGGGAAAATTTTTTTTCTAATATTAAGCTTGAATCTCCCCTGCCTCAGCCTAAGGCCATTTCCTCTTGTCCTCTCACTGCAGGCAAGGCAGAAGAGGCTGGCCCCCACCTGGCTATAACCTCCTTTCAGGGGGTTGTAGAGAATGATGAGGTGTTCCCTGAGCCATTCCTCATAAGCCATTCCTCATATTTTCTAGGCCCTTCACAAGCCCTGTTGCCCTTCATGGGACATGCTGCAGCACCTCAGTGTCATTTTTAAAGTTGGGGGCCAAGAACTGGACACAGTACTCAAGGTGTGGCTTCAGCAGTGCCGGGTACAGGGGGATGATCACTTCCCTAGCCCTGCTGGCCACACTGTTCTTGATACAGGCCAAGATGCCATTGGCCTTCTGGGCCACGTGGGCACACTGTTGGCTCATATTGGGCCGGCTGTCGACCAGCACCCCCAGGTCTCTTTCTGCTGAACAGCTCTCCAGCCGATCCTGTTCCTCCACCAGCCTGTAGCAGTGCAGGGGGTTGTTGTAACTCGAGTACAAGACGTGGCACTTCACCTCATTAACCTCATGCAGTTATCCTTTGTCCACTGATTGAGTCTCTCCAGGTCCCTCTGCAGAGCCTTCCTACACTCAAGCAGATCAACACTCTCACCCAGCAAATTTACTGAGGGTGCACTCACTCCCCATGTCCAGATCATCATTAAGCAGGACCGGCCCCAAAACTGAGTCCTGGGGAACACTGCTAACAGTGAGTATACAGACAATAACCACATCAATTGGTATTGTCTGTATACTCTTAAGCAATTAGTATCTGCATAATTCATCTTAGCACTGGGCAATAAACATACTTCTGCATCATGAGCTGCTTGTGTTTCGTGGAACCTACGTATATTTCTTCAGTGTGAAATAAAAATTGCAAACAGTGGGCCTGCTGAATATATTATACATTACATGTAAACTATATATATTATATATTATGTGTTTCATAGTATGTAGGTCTCCTTTCCATAAAGAAATATAACAGGTTTTTTTTAAAAATTCAAAGCATCTTTAGTAAACCTGTGTTTTGAAAGAAACAGTTCATGGTCCTTTATAAAAATTGAGGCAGAGGGGATGCATTGTTTTATATGTATTAGCAATGGTGTTAAAGCACCTCTGGTCAAATCAACAATAACTGCTGAAACTCAGAGGGAAACCAGAGAGAAGAAAATTCTCAGGTCTTAGCTGAAATCAGCTAACCATTGTTAATATGTAGGTCTTCAGACATGTAAGATTTATTAGGTTATTGGAAATGTTATGTTATATACATACACACACACACATACTGTATATAATATAAAGAAATGTTAAGGGCGTAGGTAGTTATAAAAAGCTTACAGGTCGTGAAATAGTTAATGAAAAGGATTTAAGGTCTAAATGGTTATGAATATGTAGAATTATGTATCAATAAGCTAAACACTATAGAAAAAAAACAGTGTAAAAGAGTGTGAGGCTCAAGATACATCCAGGGTAAATTTCATACATTAATTCTACACGTGTTCTTATCAGCAGCATGCTCCTTGTGTCACGGTACAACTGTTCTGAAGTAATTGCTTCCTTAATGGCATACTTTAGCGTGCCTTGAAGTAAAAAACACCTGTGGCATCTTGTGGCGAAAAGCATCAGTCAAAAACTCTGTTGTCATTGTTTTAGATACTGCAGAAAGACATTGTGCTTGATAGAGCCTTTTCAAATACCTCAGACACAGATAGGACACTGCGGGTTAAGACTGAAAGATTAGCAGAATGGAATACATTTTGTATTTGGAGTGATTACTGGTAGCTGTTTCAGGAGTTTGAAAATGGATAATGAAGTACCTGTATTCATTTTAATTGAGAGTTTAAGGAAATTACTGAGGAAATAAGCATGGGTACTTATTTAGGAAATTGACTTGCCTGATTTGAGACAATAACTGCTATTTCAGTATGGAATGAATAAAATAAGAGACTTAAAAGGCTAGGAAAATAATCACAGTGGCTCATGTTTATGTAGTAGAGGTAGAAGAATACAAAAGTGATTTGTTCTACATAATTGGATGAAAAGCACACTTTGCAAAAGAGTGTTGGATTTTTTCATCATTTGACAAGAAGTTGGAATAGCATGGCGTACAGCTTAATAATGTAAGCATGTCACTGTTCTGTGGCCTTGGTAAAGTTTTGGCTTTTCTAATAAGTGTCGTCAACTTTTGTTCATCATTTGAAGTGCCTAATATGGTCTAGTCAGACTCACTTCCTTACATTTTAATGTTTTTCAAAACTGTTCTTTTTAATGCAGATTGTGAGAACATTGTGTCTGTTTCTTACACCATCTGAACGAAAGTGTTCCAGGCTCTGTAGAAGTGAGTCATCTTTCAAATACGAGTCAGGACTTTTTGTTCAAGGCTTACTTAAAGTAAGTATACGTAGGAAAGTTTTGTTCTTCTGTAGTTCAAGAACATCCTCCAGTGTGTGCATACGATACACATACGCATGCACACATTCACGTTCGAAGAAATACGTCATCTTCCCTTGATTCTTTTCTGGTCCTGTGGCTTTCCATGTAACTATTTGCATGTTAAAATTCCCAACCAGTCTTTTCCGTGATACATCTGTTTCTTGAGGGTTGTTCAGAATTGTTCCTGTACTTTGAGGTACAATAATTATACTCTTTTGTCCACTTGGGGCTGGAATCCCAAAAAGCATTAAGTTTTTGTGTTGTACCAAAACCGAAGAAGGAACAGTTGCATCAGTCCTGCAGTTTCCAAGTATTTTAAATAGGCTACAACAATGTGTGAAGATGAATAGAAAAACAATGTTTCTTGCTCTGGTGAGCAGTCAGAACTTACCAGATAAATATAGTACTGTTATGCTAATGGGCTTATGAGCCAGGTGATGATATACTGTAATACACAGGTCACCTCAGTGCCTGTTTTCACTGTTATGTTAAGGGAATCATCCAGTATTAAGGACTTATTACTAGGATACAACCACCAATTCTCTTTAATAAAATATGTTTGAACAAATGGGGTATAAAATTTAGGCATGATGCTTTAATACTGTTTAGTTCCAGTACAGCTTCACACTTTTAACTGGAATAATATTTTTTTTTCACTAAACCAGGACGCAACAGGAAGCTTCGTGTTGCCCTTCCGTCAAGTAATGTACGCCCCATACCCTACCACACATATAGATGTGGATGTCAATACAGTGAAGCAGATGCCCCCTTGTCACGAGCACATCTATAACCAACGACGATACATGAGATCAGAGCTGACAGCATTTTGGAGAGCTAATTCAGATGAGGAAATGTCTCAAGATCACATTATCCACACTGATGAGAGTTTTACGCCGGATTTGTACGTACTCCTCTCACATCTCACAGAGTGACTTGATTTGGGACAGGAGAGTGAGTGGGTAGAAAGCCCATTTGCTAATAAAGTACATGAAATTTTTTTGCTTTTAAGAAGCTCTTTCAGTGCTGGTAGTTACATTTGATTCGGAGGAATTTACCAAGTCCTCCAGTAGTTTTGTTGCATTAAATATTATTGAAATTCCCTTTCAGTGCTAATTCCGACCATGTTATGTTAATTTTATTGCCTGTTTAATTAGGGTTATAACAGGGCTAAGTGCACAGCCCAGTGACTTTCCTGGGTTTATTTAATTTCATTTGAAAGTTTTGCTTTAAAATTCTGCATTAGCTTTAAAAAAGTCAGAAACCATTAAAATTTTAAATTCACTTCTAATTTCAACCAGATTGTAAATAGTAATGCTGTTGCTGTGCTGAGATGCTGGAAGGTTAGAGTCCCTTAATGGTGTTACCTCACATGTTTGTTTCCTTTCTTTTCTACAGAAATGTCTTTCAAGATATCCTGCATCGAGATACTTTAGTAAAAGCTTTTCTGGATCAGGTAATTGTTGCTTTTTCAGAAAGAACAAGAGCTAAAGTTCACTACTTTGAGCTCTAGTAACAAATAATGTAACGTGAATAGGTCATTTGTTGGTTTGGTAGCTCTTCATCATAGTCCTGCTGTGATTCGTCTCTACACAAGTAGAAAGAAAAATATTAGTATAATACTGAAACTCCTGCATAGGTATGAAAAACAATGCACATGTGCTATTGTTGTGCAACACTGTCAACAATTACAGTACTGAGAAAGCTACCTGACTGAGAATAATTTTAGATAATTTTAACTTAAAAGAAAAATAATATTGTATCCAAACAGAATTGTAAAACAGCTTAATGTATTGCATCTGAGCAGATAGAAAACTAAGCAAGCAGGTTGACTGTATGTAAAAATCTGCTGTTATTTGCCTGCTTTGCTATAATTAAGGATATATTACATGTGCTTGCAATGTTTCTTTATTTTCCACATTCTTAAAATGGTTCTCGAATTTCCATGTCTACCTAATATTCTGATATAATTTTTAACAGATCTTTCACCTGAAGCCTGGCTTGTCTCTAAGGAGTACTTTCCTTGCACAATTTCTGCTGGTCTTGCACAGAAAAGCCTTAACTTTAATAAAATACATAGAGGATGACACGTAAGTGAACAGATAATAGAAATCAGGTTCTGAGAAACCTCTTATGCCTTTTTTTACAACACACGTTTTTATTTTCTTGCAGACAAAAAGGAAAAAAACCTTTTAAGTCTCTTCGTAGCTTGAAGGTAGATCTTGACTTAACAGCAGAGGGCGATCTTAACATAATAATGGCATTGGCTGAGAAGATTAAACCGGGTCTACATTCCTTCATCTTTGGGAGGCCATTCTATACCAGTGTACAAGAACGTGATATGCTCATGACGTTTTAAAGTTCTCCACGTCTGATATTGCACGGAATCTGTCAGTGTGACACCACACTGGTGACAATCATTGATGACTGAGGATGTGGCCTCAGGAGCTCAGTAACACTAAAGTGTGTCCGAAGCAGGAGGGGTCTTGTTAGAGGGTATATCAGCTTAGCTAGACAAGCATGATTATTTTAATGCATTTGTCTCTTCTATGTGCTTTTTTTAACTGTAAAAGTAAATGTTACCAGAGGATCCTTGGCCATATTGGCTTAGAAAATAAATCTGAACATGTTTTGGTGTATGATAAAGGGAAGCATTTTAATTTTCATTCTCCAGAAACTTCCTTCATGTGTATGTCAGTTTTTCACTGTTCTGCTGTGTCAGTAGTTTCAGTTTTTCCACGGAAAACAATACGTGTGTCGTCTCCAATCATGGAGGTTTCAGAATAGGCACTTTCCAAGAGTTTCCAAGAGTTTTTAAAAGTGTTTGTTCATATGTATGTGGTACTAATCTGAATATAAAAATTCCCTTATATCCCTTTTTAACACTGCTGGCTCCTTCTTTTAGAGCATTTAAACGTTTGGAATTTTTAATATACTACAAGGTACTATTCTTGTGTGCAAGCTGTTGATTATTAGCAGCCTAAACAGCAGCGTGCTGCACATGGGAACTAGGTCATTATTCAAGCAGCTTTGTGCATGTAAGTGCCAACCAGGATACTCTGTCATGTGTTGTTGTGCACATCCTGCAGTGAAGTGTGCAGCGATCCAGCATTATGGAGCTCTTCCAAAACACAAAACTGAAAACTTGGTGTCTCCCACAGCACACTCCTGAAAAAAATGGCAGCCCACGGCTTGGACAGGGGCACTCTGTGCTGGGTTAGGAACTGGCTGGAGGGCCGGGCCCAGAGGGTTGTGGTGAACGGTGCTGCATCCAGTTGTGGCCAGTCACCAGTGGTAACCCCAGAGATCAGTGTTGGGCCCAGTTCTGTTTAATATCTTTATTGATGATTTAGATGAGGGGGTTGAGTCCACCATCCGCAAATTTGCAGGTGACACCAAGATGGGGGGGAGTGTCAATCACCTGGAAGGCAGGAGGGCTCTGCAGAGGGACTTGGACAGACTGGATGGAGAGTTGGGCTGATTCTAATGGGATGAGGTTCAACAAGGCCAAGTGCTGGGTCCTGCACTTTGGCCACAACAACCCCCTGCAGTGCTACAGGCTGGGCACAGAGTGACTGGAGAGCAGCCAGGCAGAAAGGGACCTGGGAGTTTGGATTGACAGGAGGCTGAACATGAGCCAGCAGGTGGCCAGGTGGTCAAGAAGGCCAATAGCATCCTGGATCGGGATATAGCGTGGCCAACAGGTCCAAGGAAGTGATTCTTCCCCTGTACTCAGCACTGGTGAGGCCACACCTTGAGTGCTGTGTCCAGTTCTGGGCCCCTCAGTTCAGGAAGGACATTGAGGGGCTGGAGCAGGTCCAGAGAAGAGCAACGAGGCTGGTGAAGGGACTCAAGCACAAGTCCTATGAGGAGAGGCTGAGGGAGCTGGGGTTGTTCAGCCTGGAGAAGAGGAGGCTCAGGGGAGACCTCATCACTCTCTACAACTCCCTGACAGGAGGTTGTAGCCAGGTGGGGGTTGGTCTCTTCTCCCAGGCAACGATCAGCAAGACAAGAGGGCACGGCCTTAAGCTGTGCCAGGGGAGGTTTAGGTTAGATATTAGAAAGAAATTCTTTACAGAGAGGGTAATCAGGCATTGGAATTGGCTGCCCAGGGAAGTGGTGGATTCTCTGTCCCTGGAGGTTTTTAAGGTAAGGCTGGATGTGGCACTTAGTGCCATGGCCTAGTAACCATGGTGCTGTTGGATCAACAGTTGGATTTGATGATCCCTTCCAACCCAACTGATTCTATGATTCCACAGCACTTGTCAGTCTTTCTGTCTGTAAATTGCTACTGGTAGTTCCATTGTCAGTTTCAATAAGGTTCATAAAATCATTTGGATTGGAAAAGACCTCCCAAATCATTGAGTCCAACCATTAACCCAGCACTGCCAGGTCCACCATTAAAACATGTTCCTAAGTGCCACATCTACACATTTTTTGTACTCTTCCAGGGACAATGATGCCACCACTTCCCTGGGGAGCCTGTTCCAGTGCTTGACAAAACATTCAAATTAAAGTATTAGACCTTCCCAAAGAATACCAAGATGATGGACAAATTAAAAGATAAACCAGTATTTTTTTAATTTTACATCACCAATAATATATTTAGCAATCCTTAATTCAGAAACAAGCACAGCTATGAACTAATGTGATCAGTATTTTACTAAGTTAATTCTCATTGTTAAGCTTGACTACCTTCTTAGTTCAGCTTAGCACACCTCCCACTTTCTCTTGAAAATAAAAACACATTTTCTATTTGTATGCCTCAACCTTTCTTTCTCAGTAGAAAGTAGAGTGATGTGGTGTCAGTTGAAATCCAGACCTTTTTTTGGTGATGTGTGTTACACTGAAATCAGGGGTACATCTGTACTGCATGTTGTTGTATCTTTTCTCTTTTTGGACAAACACAGGAATTTGTGTCATGCTTCAGTATAAAGTTATAACTCAATATTCATTGTGAAGGAGCTGCACTTGTGATTGGAGAAGCCACGATTGCTTTATGGCTTACACTGTTTATAACACTCCTTGGTTAACAGGTTTCTGTTTTCAAAATATCTTTTTAGTGTTACTTTCATGCAGTGAGGCATAAAAGTTAACAGAAGTTAGATTCACAACTTTTCCTGAAATGTCTAACACTTGGATTTTAAAAGAAATACTGTCCCTTATTTAGATTCCTTACAAAAATTCCCTTACATTTTCTGAAAGACAAAGATTTGCAATTAAATGTTTAGAGCTTCTGAAAGACGTGGAATTTATCCCCAACTGCACAGCATTTTTGTCAATGACCATCATCAGCATTACCTGGTTGCAAAAGTAATTACATTTTGTGGAACCATCTTTTTGCTGTACATGCATGTAGGACTCTTGCAGTGAGCTTGGCAATTCATCAAAAGAACTTGTCAGAATTATGCTGACATAAGTATCTTGTGCTGAGATTCTGTTAGTCTTCCTACCATTCCCGTTCCCTTCTGTGTTTTCAGTTAATTGAGGCATTAGAAAAGAGCCTGATTTTGCTTAGGTTTTTACTGTCATGTCTAAGATAGTGAAAGAAATTTAATAAACACTGCTGAAACTTCTAACGTAGAAGTTGTGCCAAAATCTAAGGAGCTTTAAATCTGCTGCTGAAATTAACCCTTTCAGCTTGATAGGTATTGGAAACTTAACACTGACACTACTAACAATCAAGATATTTGTTTACTGAAGATCCTGTCACTTTGAAATTACTAAAAACTACAGCCTCTCTCAATTGCTGCTTTTGTTGCACAGCTGTCACAAGTGCACTCTCACAAGTGCAGAATGTGTAGTGAAGTACATTGTTAAATGTATCTGCATGTTGTGTTGTAAATCTTGCTCAGGAAACAAACTAATAAAATTCATGCACAAGTTTTGACTTTAACTGTTGCTGATTTTTTTCAGAGAATTTCCGGTCTGTGTCTGATAGCAAAATTATCTTTTATCATTTTAATTAAAGGAAAAATCTTTCTTCCTTCTTGTTAAATTGAAAATTATGCTGGGATGTTAATGTCATTGATGAAAGTCATATATTACTTAGCTTCTGCCATTTCTGTTAAGGACTTACTTATTTCAGGCTGAAATTGCTGGGACTTGCTGTGCCTCTGATGTGCTCAAATATGAATTTAGCCTCTACTTTTAAAAAGCTTTAATCCCATATATTTTATCTAGCAGTCAGTGAATACCTTTCTTCAAGATTTTATTTCCTCACATTTAAAAGAAAATGACAAATTTATTTCCTCCAGTTGTATTTGAAAGGGAAGTAGTGTTTTAGAGCATTTTTAGCAGCACTTTATTCCTCGTCTTTGAATACCCATAAAGGTAGCACAGAAAGATATCCACTGGAATGTCTGATTTGTGAGGACCACAGAGGATATTCCAAGTCTGTATACCAATATGCTGTAATGTCAGTTTTATTCCAAAGCAGAATAGGCATTTTGGTGATGTTCTAATCCCTAAGGCAGCAGTATGATATGCCAATATAGAATGCCAGGACTTCGACACTGCATTCTTTTCTGGGAAAAGGTGTTACAGACCTTTCTCTTCCTATTCTCAGATCTGTGAAGATAAAGGAACGTGGTCCGAAGCATGAGGACTATCTTATACAGGCATGTTGCTCACCTCTGTTGTCTCATCAGAACTTACAAAGCATGTACTTTGTCCTCTTCAACAGTGAGGAGGCACTAACCATATGCGTTAGAGTGCAGAGGAGGTTTTTTGCCCATGAGTAGGATGTGGTTGTGTCGTTTATCTCTGTCCTGAGATAGAGCTGCTGTTACACCTCCTGCTTGGACAAAACACCAAGGGAACTCCACCACAGATTGTCCTTATTTACAAAGTTCTTCACCTGATATTTTGACTAAAGGAAGTAATTGTCTTGCTTTTCAAAGCTGTGCCGTTCATGTGTATGTCTAGAGATTCCAAACAGAGAAGACTTTCAGTTAAGGCTCAGAAGTATGAAAAAAAGGACACAATCCTGATAATGACCATCAAGTAAGTGTGACTTCAGTTCTAAGTAAAATAATAGAGCCACCCTGCAAGAACTTCTGTCTTTCAATTAACATAGGGCAGCTTTTCAAAGCAAAATATCAGAGGAAAGAGAAATTTCTACTTCAGCACAACAGAACTTGCAATTGATAATTGTTCTCTTAGGTATTTCTGTCTCTATTGTCATGCAGATGTATGAGGCCCTAGACAACTAGAAAAGGGCCAGTAGACAGTCTAGAGAACTGTAAATTGACCAGTTTTACTCAGGTACCTGAAAAAATCATGGCATGTGTCCTCTTAGAGCTCATGTCTTACCACATGACGAAGGAGAAGGTGATTGGCAACTGAGAGCACAGCTTGCCAAAGTGAAAAATGCTTCACCCATCTTATTACTTTTTGTGATAAAATGACTGGATTTGTGGATATGTGAAAAACATGATACAATTTAAGCTGACTTCAGCAAGGCTTCCAGCACCCTACCATAATGTCCCTGTAACCAAGCTGGATGTTGGGGGGTGTGTGGGTGGCCCCTCAGAGGACTACTTGGTTGGGTGGTTGGACTCAGGTGATGGTCACTGGGCCGTATCTGCCTGGAGGCTGGTGCCCTGTGGGATCTCACAAGGTCTGCCCTGGGGTTTGTCCTGTTTAACATCTCTATCCGTGACCTGGGAAGGTGACCAAGTGCACCTTCAGGTTTACAAGTGGTGCCAAGGCAGGGACCACTGTTCAATGTACATGAGGGCAGGGCAGCTGTCTAAAGGGACCAGGACTAGCAGGAGGAAAGGACAGGGGAAAAGGGCAGCTACACCCCAGGCTGGCAGAGTTCTGGCAGCCATGCCTGTGAGACCAGGAGCAGCTCTGGAGAGAAGGTCCTGGGTCCTGGT